TTGGTGGAGTGATCGAGACATACCTAGCCTATCAGGATCTCAAGATCCTGGCGAGAAGGCCTGTCGACCTCGACTACATCTATTATTCGCTCGCGACCGATGGGCCTCGTTGGGGTGACGAGAGGGTTCAGCTTATAGAGCTGATCCGTTCGATAGACGACGAGTGGCCCCAGTCTCCATGCGTTTGGGATTGGCTAGACCGTGAGCTCCGAGCAGGCCCCGAGTACGTGACTTGCATCGGGCGGCTCTTCTCAGACGACTGGGGGAGCTGGTGGAGTGAGGACATCGGGCGACCTCTGATATACGGCCATCAGTTGGCGGAGTACTACCAGGTTATAGGACAGGCGCCATACCGCGTTGAGGACGAGTTTGACGACGAGGGTTGGGAGCGAGAGGACGACGAGTACGCCTGGGAGCTAGACTGGGTCGACCCAGAGAGTGAGGTTGACGAGGAGGAGATTGACGTTACGGACGCCCATTTCCCCAGGATCGGAGTAGCAGTCCGGGCGTAGGAGGCAAAGGAGCACATTAGGGCGGCGGTTGAGTGAGCTTAGCTACTGATATCGGCGGATAGTAGAGAGCGGATTGATGGTAGAGCAGGTCAATGGAGTAAAGCTTCAGATCGACGACGCCAGATGGCCTAGGCCTCCGGAGACAGTAGCGCCAGGCAGGGTGGCGCTAGATTTGCCGGCCAAAGGGGTTTCCGCGGATGCGATAGATAGCCGATGGTCATCGACGGTGTTGGGCCCAGACGTGCACTTGTGGACGTGTGTCATCGAGACGTTTGAGCTAGACAGTCAGAGGTGGCGACGACCAGGCACGACTAGTATAGAGGTAGTGGGCCACATTTACTACTCGCGGGAGGTGCTAGCCAAAGTCTATTTTCACGGCATCGTGCACGATCATTAGCGAGAGGAGGAGAGCGCGAGGAGGATTTTACTGGCCCGAGCGGACTCCGCGCGGGGCGAGGTAGAGCGGCTGCACGGGGGTGTTCGGGGAGTGACGACGAACTTGAGGATTGGAGGACACTTCTTATATCCTAGCAGTCGACTGCGTGTGACACTTCCATGCTTCGTTGCGGAGGAGCTTTGGGGACTTAGATGCCTGCGTGAGATCTACTTTGCGGCTCTTGACTTGGACGGCCTCTGCCGAGGGTACACTGACAGGGATTGGGTGTTGTATGCGCAGTTTGTAGCAGGGCCGCTTGTAGGCGAGCGAGGGCTCCAGTTGATTGAGTTCCTGCGGGCCATTGTACCTACCGGGAGCCCTGACCTATACTCTCTGTACCAGCCCCTAGCCTTCTGGACGACATTAGAGAGAGAGGCTCGGAGGCCTACAGATCATTTAGCTGGAGTAGGACAGCTGCTAGCCGAGACTCGTGAGGAGAGGCCGGGCCATCTCATCTTGACCGGGGAGGTTGAGGGGTATTACCGACAAGTACATCCAGAGGCAGACGATCTTATGTGGTACGCTGAGGATCGGGATTGGGAGGAGTTCGATGACATAGACCCTTGGGGTGACTAGGAGGGCAGCTGGGGACATCTCCTTCGGACCGAGGGACAGGAGGATATTCCATGGGGACAGAGGGTAGATGAGGATACAGACGAAGATATGCCAGATGCATGAGACGACTAGAAGCAGGACATATCCGAGTGAGGTTTAAAGAAGGGAGTAGTGGAGAGTATGGCAGACCGAGATATACTGAGGGTGACTCTTTCCCTACGACGAGATATGACAGGAGGTTGGGAGGATGAAGCGTTGGGCAATGTTGAGCGATAGGTCAGACTCATGATGGATCATGCCCTGGAGATATGGAGAGGCAAGAGGTACGTCGAGTTCACTATCTACTTCCATGGAGCCGACGGGAGAGTGCACAACACCTACTCGGCCATACTGGATCTGAGTGGGAGAGTTGTCTGAGGAGTCGGCAACATCGAGAGATAGGGTGCGTCGGAGGGATTAGAGCGCTACAGGTCGAGAGCTGGAGAGGAGATGAGGAGTGACTCGGTGGCCTGGTTAGCCTATGTTCTCTCACGAGAGTCCGAATCGTATAGTGTGAGGAAACTTGTGAGACCCAGAGAGAAGGCGGTTGGATACGACATTCCTCTTCCTGTGGCGTTAAAGGGGACAGGGCGTGTTCCGATACGATACCTGGGAACGTGGCTCGCAGAGGGACTCTTCCTTTGGAAAGTGATACTGAGAGACGAACGACCCGAGAGGACTCATGATCTAGAAGGGGTCGGACATCTGATAGCGGATAGAGCACATGATTTAGAGGTAGGACTGACGCTCGCAGGGGCAAGCAGGGCTTGGTGGATAAGCGAGTCGTTGGCCAGAGTGATGGTTAATCAGCAACTGGCGAGACTCTCTGGAGGGAGGACGCGTTGGAGCCGCTTGGTATACGGTCCTCCGCATCCGACCCTCTACCCGAGAGAGGATTGGCGATTCGGACTTCCTGCTTTCGTGATAGGGCAGACCTATGGGAGCGTAGATCGTCTGAGTAGAGCAGTGGACCACACACTTTACGCGCTTTGGGAGGGCTTAGCGCCCCGTTTCACGGAAGTATACTACGCCATTTGTGTGAGGTGGGAACCGCCCAGTAGAGAGACGTTTGACGACATCATAGACGTTACTAGTTGGGTGGACTGTCTGAGGTCAGTCGATCTGATTAGGTACTGCAGGAGACGGGCGGAGATCGACTACGTGGGGCTAGAGGATGTGAGGTTTTTCTTCAAGGCCGCAACTTAGGGAATGTCGGGGAGGACGGCCACAGTGATGCGTATAGGAGAGCAACTGGTAAGCACAGGGTACACTGTGACAGTACTTCTCCGAGCGTACGTAGATGAGGACTTGACGGTGAGGGAGTGCCGACAACAAGCCAGAGATTTGATCCATGAGCATAGAGCCGATGTACTGGCGCGGGTGACCTTTCAGACCTCGATTTCCTATGAGGTGATGATATGGTCACATGGTTATATGTGTGAGGAACACTTCCACGACGAGACGGTAGCGGAGGCTAGACCAAGGGTGAGAGGATGAGCTGGAAAGAGATGAGGACTGAGTATGGAAGAGGAGAGTGAGGCAGTCGGAAGAGTGAGAGAGCGCATTAAAGGGTCACTCTTGAACCAGGTAAAGGAGTTGGGGAACAAGTTAAGGGAGATCTGGTCGTGCCAGGATGAGGGCAAGTTGCGTAGGGCTGAGCTATTGACGAGAGAGTTAGAGATTTTGTTTAGGGAGGAAAGAGAGATAATCCAACCGTGGAGATCAGACTTTCTGGAGAGGGTAAAGGCTAGGAGTGTATCACGCGAAGGAACTGGGAAGAGGTCTGCGAAGGGCGTGACAAAGGAGAACAAGGTAACACACGGAGGTAGCGACAGGACATGAGCGGGACTGCACTACACACGACGGATCGGTACTCATTGCATGTGGTAGGGAGACTGGACGGACCATTGGTGTTAGTGATCGTAGAGCTCCAGCTCCATACCAGACTGTGCATAGTTGAGGAGGCAGAGTGTGTCCGCCGTGCGCTGCGTGAGGCTAGGGGGACAAGACTTTGGATTGGAATAGAAGGAGGACGAAGGATAAAATACGTACTTTGAATGACACCTTTCAAAGGGCGGTCTCGGATAAGGGCATGGTACGAGACGACCAGGGAGGCTGAGAAGTTGAAGATAAGTGAAGCCAGAAAAAATGGAGAGCTAGGGAGAGTTGTGACAGACGGTGCAATACTCAGGGTGCTAGCTGCTCACGATCGGTATTGGAGGCAGTCGATGAAGATTTTAGAGGCCATAGAGGATAGTGGAGATAAGGAGGATTTTGAGACATTCTATGACATATTGGAGCTGTCGGCGATGAGGTTACGAGTGGTTATAACACTGACTTACCTCGGGTGCTAGACAGATGACCTCATAGCCGTCTGGGAGTTAAAGGAGGAGAAATAGAGATTGGAAGCTCTTGGAAGGATAGTGGAAGTTAGAAAGAACGACGAGCGACTTTGGATGGCAGCAGGAGGGGAGTTTCCTCCTTTAGCAGGCTACCCGATTCATGATGGGCTAGGAGACCTAGCAAGGAGGACGGAGATAGACGCACGGAGGCTCTTGAGGGGAGCTGATCAGGAGACATTGGCTAGGCTTGGGACTGCGATCTGCCGCAGGCGTAGAGATCATGTCACGGGTGTACTGCAGATCCGGAAAGGTGCGGCCTTGTTGGCCGATCCCGAAGGGGAGGTTTACCTAGACACAGGGATTCTTGGGATAGAGGGAAAGCACGAGATCCGCGACCGGAACGAAGTACTGGTGGTAGTAATCGGGGCAGTCGAAAGCTAGGATTGAAGGCAGACGCGAACCGTGATAAGGAAACAGGTCCGGGCTGCCGCAATTGTCACTGGTCCGGGCTGCGAGTTCTGTTACAGGTCCGGGCTGCAGCAACTATCATAGGCTCGGGCTGTAACACTTGGCGAGAGTACTTAACTGCGTCTTCTGGTGGCTTATGGAACCAGACACGATGGGGCCACAACCGACCACGGCCGAGACAGGAGAGGAGTACAGGACATCGCCTGACCGAGCTCTGAGGGATCTGAAGAAACGAATTAGGCAGGACGCACCGCTGAGATGGGCTGACCAAACCAATGACGGAGAGTCCGACGTAATGGGCTAGCCGGTCGTGACAGAGCCGCAGGAGGCTCTGAAGACCGGGACCTCAAGCGGCCGCCGAGAAGCGACAAGACGACGCTCCCCCGAGTATGAGCGGGGGGAAATCATAGCGGATAGGCACAGGGACGACTGGCGAGACAGTTCGAGGGATTCCTATTGGAGGGACAGAGATAGAGATAGAGCACCGCAGCGGCGTGTCTTCGACCCCCAAACGGGGGAATCACACCCGCTCCCTTACGAGAGCAAGGATCGCTATATTATCACGCATAAGGTCTCAGAGCCTCCTACCTTCAGGGGCTATGGCATTACAGAATATCTAGAGAAGTGAGAGCTTCATGCCAGCCGGAGCCAGTGATCGGAAGAAGAGATTATAGAGAACTTCCTATTTAATGTGGACCCAAGTCTTGGTAGGGAAGTCCAGGAAGCTCGACCAAAGGATGAAAAATGGACTACGTACAAGAAAAACCTCGTTGAGCTTTACAAATTGGAGGATAACAAGTACTCCATCAAGGACCTTGAGACGATGACTCAAGATGAAGATGAGAGCGTACGGGCATTTGGGATGCGTTTCCAGAAGATCTCCGACGTGCTGATGAAGAAGGGGAAGATCTCAGAGGTCGAGCGTTGTACTATCTTCATCGGACAACTGTCCAAAGGTAGACAAAAGAGTATACTTAGAGATCTTCCGCGTGACAAGCTTGACTTCCCAGAAGTCCTAAAGCTCGCAATAAAGGCAGAGGCAGACAACTACAAGGACTTGGTGTGGAGAGGGATGAGGAGACGTGACTTTTTCCTCTACAAGGAGTATGCCACCGATAGATGTCCTGATTTCAAGGACCATCCCTGGTCGGAGAAGAATGAAGCCGTGCCCGAAGAAGTGAAGGAGATAAGGGACATGGTAAAGGGATTGACAAGACAGGTTACAAAAATTGTAACCACCACAGGAGCCACGGCATACCGGGACAAGCCCGGAGGGCCCTATTCACTTCGCTGGGACCGGACGAACACTGATTCCTGGAGGAGTGTTGAGGATAGAAATCCTCGAACGCTGACTGATTATCGTACGAGGGAAAGGGAGAGAGACGATGAGCCATGGTGACGTAGGGATGATGAGATAGACCGGGACCGCAGGACTCGCGAGACGTATAGGCGTGCTAGGAGACTCGATGACTACTCGCGTAGCCCTCGCTATGAGCTTGACGGGGGTAGAGGTGACTCTCGAGGCCGGTGGGAGTCGGATCAGGGCCGACGAGACGGATACAGCAATGACAGATATGCGAGATCGGACCGAGATGGACATAGGGACGACAAATATGAGAGATCAGACCGGGATGGATATAGGGACGGAAGATATGAAAGGACGGATCGAGATGGATACAGAGGTGGCGGATATGAGAGAGGAGATCGAGACGGGGACCGACGAGACGACTTGCGCGGACGGTATGACCGCGGGGGATACGCGAGAGAGCAGCGCGACGATTCGCGGGGATGGTACAACCGAGGAGATCGACGTGATGAGTCGCGCGGGCAATACGACACTGGGGACCGCCGAAACGATTCACGAGGACGATATGAGCCAGGAGGATCTGGGGGAGACCGCCGCAATGATTTGCGCGGCAGGAATGAGAGAGGGGGATGTGACGCTTCTGCAGAACCATATCCGAAGTCCCCTGACCCCAGAGCAGCGAGAGGTTCTACCTCCAGAGGTGCAGACGACAGGCTACCCACTCCCAGGAACTCTTGCGTCTACTGTAGAGAAGATAATCATATCAAGAGAGATTGTCCGGACCTCAAACGGGCAATAGATGAGGGACTTGTAGTGCTTGACGACCGCAAGTACGTCAAGTGGGCAGATGATCTGGGAGATGTATCGATGTTCCGTTCGATGAAGGAGAATGTCGAAGCAAGGAGAGTAAAGCCGAGTAAAGGAAATGAGTCGGTCAGGAGTCAGAGCATCAAGACAACTTTTGAGGGGGATATGGCGACCACACCCATAAGGGTGGCAGCCACCAAGTCGGCGAGATGGTCTACATCGAAGAAGACTGACACGGATTACGTGATGGCGGAGAAGGACGGACAACGGATCGATGAAGAGGAGGTTATTCTTTCGCTGCGGAAGCGGGGAGTGAAGAAGTTCTTGATGAAGAGTTCGCTGAACGAGATTGACACGGTTGAGCCACTGAGGCGGGCCCTTCGGCAGCCCATGCAGTGCTCTATTCTGGAGTACCTGGCGGCATCGAAGCCGGCCCGCGATGAGTTACAGATGATCACGCGGAAGACTCGCATACCTCTATCAGAGGAGGCTCAGGGGGCCCCTAAGGCAGAAGCTCCTACAGTAGCAGTAACGGGGGTGACTGCCAGAGCAGATCGCATGACGACAGTCCTTCTTGATGGGATGGAAGGTGTGCCTCCAGACAAGTTTTACATACTTGGTAGTGGGGTCGTGGAGACGATCATAAATGACGGAGCGGTACTGGATGCTGTGATCGATAACGGCAGTGAGGCTGTCATTATAGACGAGGATCTGGCAGAGCAGGTTGGACTGGGCCTCGATAGGTCATACCTATTCGAGATAGAGACGGTTGATGGGAGAAAGCAACAGATCACTGGGGTTTGTCACAAGGCAGCCATAGAGGTCCAAGGGGTACGAGTGACCCTGCCTGTCTTTGCAGTCAAGAACTGCAGCTTCGATCTGCTCTTGGGACGAACGTGGTTGAGCCACGTGCATGCGGTGACGATAGAGCGACCTGACGGGAGCCAGACATTGTCCATTAAGAAGCTAGATGGGATGCGGGTTATGATTGAGACAGTGGAGACTCGGGACCCGAGGAACAGAGCAGCTCTCGCAGTGGGAGCAAGACCCAGTGATCAGATTAAGTCATTACCTATCTCAGGCCGCGCGGTGCGATTTCGCGAGAAGAAGTATGGACCACTGCTCACAGAGGAAAAAGGTCGGATCGTGGAGGTGGAAAATTTTGGGAGTCGGCTGATAGTGGACGGCAACTCGTACCCAAAGGAGACAGATGAGGAATTTAGCGGGGTGGTGTCTGTGTCTTTTTTAAGGGCACGGCCCCCTATGGGCCCTATGGGAGGCTACCCAAGCGACATAAGTGAGTAGCACAGAAAGTTAAGCCCGCGGCGGTGGGTCGCGAACGATCTGCACTGGACGGGATATCGGAAGAAGAGATCGCAAAAAAAATCAAAGAAAGAAAGAAAAAGGAGCCGCAATGCCTGACCGAAGAGAGGATAGCAGGGATGGACATCAGAGATGGAAATTTGACCCCACAGGAGCGAGAACGTGTGATAGAAATCTTGAAGACATGTGATAAGGCAATAGCTTTCAGGGACGCAGAGCGAGGTAGGGTTGACCCTCGATACGCTAAGCCAGCAAGGATTTACACGATTCCACATGTTCCTTGGAATGACGCAGGATGGAAATACGCCCAGAAGGAGAAGGAAGAAGTTATCGCTTTCCTGAAAGAAAAGATGGTTTCCCACGTTGCGGAGCCGTCCGATAGCGCTTATGCTAATCGATGGTTCTTCCTACGAAAGCCGAATGGCAAGATCCGATGGATCCAGAACCCTCAGAAGGTCAACGTGGTGACGATACGAGACGTGGGCTCCGTGCCACACGCCAATTTACTGGCTGAAGGCGCCGCAGGCAGATCGATTTATTCGGTTTGTGATCTGTTCTTAGGCTATGATGAGGTACCACTTGATCCTAGGGACAGGCACCTCACGGCTATGCACACGTCATTGGGACTGATACAGATGATGATTGTCCCTATGGGTTGGACTAGTGGGGTAGCCGTTTTTCAGAGAGTCATGGTAGCCGTCCTCAAGGACTTCATTCCTGACAAGGTTGAAGTTTTTTTGGATGACTTCCCTATTAAGGGACTAGTCCAGAAAGACAAGATAGAAGTTGTACCAGGAGTTAGAAGATTCATCGAGCAACACCTAACCGATATTTGCGCGGTTCTCGAGCAGTTAGACGATGCAAATTTAACGGTCAGCAGAACAAAGAGTCGATGGGCCGTCTCGACTATTAAGATCTTGGGCTTTATCTGTGACTCGAGAGGACGCCGAGCAGATCCGGCGAAATTAGACAAACTCCTGAACTGGCCGTCACTGTTACATAGTCCAACCGAGGTCCGACAGTTTTTGGGAGTGGTCGGTTACTGGTGTATATTCATACGGGGGTATGTGAAAAAGGCTGAGCCATTGAGGTTACTCCTTCGAAAGACTAAAAAATTCTACTGGGATTCCTCGCAGGAACTCGCTATGCAAGAGTTTAAAGACGAATTTAAGGAGGGAGGACGCGTACTTGGCGTGTCGTTCTTTGATGATGAGGCTGAGAGACCCTTCATAGTATCCACGGATGCTGGACCCTGTTCGGTAGGAGGGTTGCTGTCTCATAAAGACGCTGAAGGAAAGGAAAGGCCGTTAAGATTTGAGAGTAGGATACTTAATACGGCAGAGCGAAACTACAGTCAATTCAAGAAGGAAGTGTTAGCTGTTCTGCGGTGTCTAGACACGTTCAGACACTATATCTATGGGCGTCGGGTCATCTTGAGAGTAGATCCCACAGCGGTTGCCTCTGTCCTCCAGAAGGAGTTTAGTCTGGCGGACCCGACCATCGCACGATGGTTAATACGGATTCGACTCTATGACTACACGGTTGAGATAATATCGGGCACTAAAAATGCCGTAGCAGATGGGCTCTCTCGGATCCCTCTTGAGGGCGAGCGACCGATAGTAGCTGGAGCCCTGGCAATGGCGGAGCCGAGACGCGCCGAGCGATTTCTAGTTAACCTTTACGAGGGCAAATACCGAACGATCGGGCTACATTTGTCAGGGGAGGAGAGTCAAGAATCAGATATCCGGAGACAAGCGGAGCAGTAGTGCCTAAGAGCTAGCCATCTATTCCGAAGGCCGATCGGCTCGGGGATGCCCTTACGAGTAGTCTGTGACCCTGAGGAGAGACAGACGATAGTGGCGGAGCTTCACGACGGGGTAGTCGGGGGACACAGGGGAGTAAAAGGGACCTACGAAAATGTGCGCAAGTTGTACTGGTGGGAAGGACAGTATAAGGACGTCGAGAGGTACTGTATGACATGCGAGGAATGCCAGAAAAGGGCTCTTGTGAAATACAAAGAGCCACTTCATCCGTCCTATCCAACCAGACCAGGAGAGAAGGTACACATCGATCTGGTAAAGATGCCGAAAGGAGTAGGCAATATGAACTACGTCGTGAACATACGAGACGACTTCACTGGGTTCGTCGACAGTAGACCTATCAGGAGTAAGACGGCAAAGGAAGTGAAGAACTTCGTCCTGGAGTACTTATCTAGGTACGGATGTGTCAGCAAGATAGTGATGGACAGAGGGGCGAAATTTTTAGCTGGCGAGGTCCAGAGTGTGTTCAAGAGAGCTGAGACGAGAGTCTCAATAGCCACTGCCTATCACCCACAGTCGAACTCCCCAGTAGAGAGAGGACACCAGACTCTGATAGCGTCACTATCCAAGTGGTGCAAGGGAAAGGACAGTGATTGGCCACGATATTTTCGATGCGCAATATGGGCGGACAACGTCACGGTCCGGGCTAGTACTGGATACCAACCATACACCTTGTGGTTTGGGCGGCATTGTCCACTCCCCATAGAGTTTCGTGTCGACAGCTGGACAACCGTCGACTGGACGGAGCAGATGTCCAGAGAGGAGCTCATAGCTGCCCGAACAAAACAGATAGCCTACGGTTTGGAGGATAACCTTATGACAGCGGCAGATCGTCTGGCAGTAGAAAGGGACAAAGGTAAAGAGAGATGGGATAAGAACGTGCGAATCAGGAAAGGGAGGGTGAGCGTAGGAGATATGGTCCTTCTCTACGACGCAGCACTAGAGAGGACATGGACCGGAAAACTCTCCAACAGATGGATGGGACCTTACAGAGTGGTTGAGGCACTCGATTAGGGTGCGTATATGATAGCAGAATTAGACGGATCCAAGTGGAAAGACCCAGTGGCGGGTGCTAGGTTAAAGTTGTTTAGACCCAGGCCCGCACCCACTTTATCGTGGACAAGCCGGAAAGGGAAAGGAAAAGCCAGAATGGAGGATGAAGCCCCCTCGAGGCGATTCGAGGTAGGGGAGAGTTCCAAGAAGAGGAAAAGAATAGAGAAAAGAAAGGTCAAAGGGTTAGCTTAAGGAAGAGAGAAGAAATGGTTATTCGTGCTCAAGAGGGCTAGACGGAGAGTTCGTGTTAGACGTACTGGCGGGTCGGCACCCTTCTCGGGGCAAGGACAGAAGAAAAATAGGATCGTGCCGAGGCCAAAAACCAGAAGAAACAGGAAAGTCAAGAAGCATCTTCTTAGCCCCAGGACTCATGACAAATTGAAACATAAGACAATTAAACGCCGACGTGGGCATCCTTTACGGGCCATCACCCTGAAACTCGTCCGCTTCATCTGACGAAAGTGTTTAGGGCTCGACGGGGGCGTCGAGAGGTGGTCCGGGCTAACTATCAAGCGGCCACAAGTAGTGCGCCGCCTGAAATCTGCGGCTTTGGGACTTAGGCTCAAAGACAAGTCCGTGTTTTGACGGTGCTCCGGGTTGACCAGGCAGCAAAAATTAGTGGAGCTCAGGGCACCCCTGACTTTGGGCACACTGAACCTTACGAGTAGCCCTCAAAGATAGTGAGATGGGTGGCCGCACACGACACATCTAGGTACGGTATGGGCCCGGTGACAGCGGTTTCACTGCGGTGACTTAGTTTCAGGTTTGGGACAGCTGCGGTGATTTATTATCAGGACCGGCGCTACTACGACAGTTACTCCAGGATTGAAACCTTGGGGGCAGTTTGTTTTCAAGTCCGGAAACGTTGCGGCATTCTATATTAGGTTCGGGACAGGTACAGAATTATCATGGCATGGTTGTACGGGTTCGGCATCCGCGTGGCACAACAGCCCTGTACTGGATTTCGGGTTTGGTCAAGTTCGGTGGCATCACGGTGTTTCGTTTCAGGTTCGACGTCCTCACGGCGATTTATTTCAGGTTCGGAACCTCTGCGGTGATTTATTTTCAGGACTGGGACCACTTCACTGCAGGCTCGGAACTACCATGACGTGTTATTTCAGCATTGAAATCACTACGGTGACTTGTTTTCAGGTCGGGATCATCACATATATTTATTTCAGATGCGACGTCATCATGGTGATTTATTTCAGACAGGGAACCTTGACGGTAGTTTATTCCAGGTTCGGTCCCATTACGACGTGTTATTTCAGGTTTGGGGCTATTCCGACGGATTCTTTCGGGACGTTACCATCGCAGAGATTTATTTCAGGAACGCTGCTGCTATGGCGTAGGTCACACGGATCTCTCACGTTCGTATGGATCATTTGCGGCGCAGCACGGTCCTGGACTTGGACAGGCATGGTCCACCGGTTCGAGGCAGGATCAGCGCTGCATGGTTGTGCCTACTGCGACCCGGGCGGGTGGCTCGGGGTTGGTAATCGATCGGCATTGGTGCAACGCCCTGTCCCCGTAATGATCTGGCACCGTTCTACTTTGATGCATTCTCTGTTTGATTCAGTATTTGGTTCCTAAGGGAAGTCATAGTCGTGTTTGAAGATAATGGCGTTCTCTTGATGACGGTTTCTGGGTTTACAGTTCAGGTGCCGCTAGCTCAGCGTGGCCAGTTCTTTCCAGTTCAGTGTGTTTACTTTGCGAATGTGCGTCGCTCCCCAATGGGTAAGGAAGATCTGTGGCGCAGCGACGCTGTTTAATGGCCTAGGCATTTGTGTTCTGATCCCTCGGGCCATAACTCGGGCCTGAACCTATCCCACAGGGTTGATTCCGGGGTACCACAGTACCCGGCTGGTTCCGTTGCCTACACTGGCCAGGGCCTCGTTTGGAAAAAATTTTCGCTGTTCGAGTGTGGCCAGGACGGTCACGGATATAGATGACGAGGAAAACGGGAGAAGGGGGGGTGACATGAGTAGAGGGAGGCGTGCATGGTGTACCCGGCGACATCTTCAGAGGTTGTTGCATCGGGAGCCGCGGCAGGCGTGCCCAACGCTCTTGCATGGGAACATGGGTAGCTACAGGGAGTTGGGGAGGTAAAATGACCGAGACGTGCTCAGCCGTCTCATCCTGAACGCTTGAGTAAGTAACGGATCGTGGTATAACTAGGAGGTGAGGGAAGAAGAGAGTGCGAGCGCTCGATCTGCTGACCGAACTGAAAGAGGCGGAGAGGGTGTGCGCGCTACGTTCTCTCGTCGAGCGCTGTGGAAGTGAGGCCAAACTCGCAGAGGGTGAGCCACATCTGTCGAGATTAGACGAGCTATCGCGCGCTGGTGCATTTGAGGGAGAGGCGCTCTGAGAGAGTCGGTGCATACGGAGAGGAGGAGGAAGTGAGGAGAGGAGAGCGCATTTGGTCGCTCGTGAGTG